AATGCAGCCAAATTGAAACGTATTGCTGATCGGGTTACTAATAGCGCACCTTCTTCCTCGTAATACTTTATCTTTAATCGCCACTAAAAATATCCTTTATGTACAATGATTAGCTAAATATTTCTTACCGTCAAAGTTATTATCCTATGCCTTTAGACTTGGGATATTATTATGTAACCTCTAGTCATTTTAATGGCTACTTATTAAATTATACAATTCTAATCTCGTTTAATTGGCAATTCTATTTGCGATTTTTATAGATTTGTGCTGTTTCCAAACTCAAACTTTAATCATGGTATAACTATTCTTCCCATTTTCATCCACTCTTTGTTTGTTGGTTTCTACTTCAGTTAAAGGAGTTCACCCTATCTAATACCTCAATCTTACGTTTTTAGTCCACTTTCCTGCATTCTCGGACCATGTAAAGAGAAAATAGAATCTCAAAATCCTTCCAAACGGCATCGCCCCTCTACTAATTCTGAAGCAACAAACTCTCCTTTGCATCATCTTTCACCTTCAGTCTCCAAAAATCATCAGGAATTGGCTGCTCTTATTGCTAAGGGTTCCTCTAAACTTCAACTTTTAGATTCCGTAGAGGCAGCCGAAGAGCAAGCTATCTTACACAATCTGGAAGGTCGTGAACAGTTGGAAGAGCGATTAATCAACCAGCATGAACAGGAATGTAGCATTGTCGAGTGCAAAAATGTGAGCAGCTATGCTTGTCTGTTTCTTTTGAACTGGATAATCATATTTTATTAAAATTCAACCGTTTTGTTTTCTAAGCATTTTTTCCGGCCCTTTTTAAACGCTTCTTACCCCAGGCCTCTAAAGCTTGATCATATCTGATCTGCCTATTTAAAGCCACATTTTTTTCCTTTTACTCATTCCCTACGTGGGAAAATTCTAAGAAAAATGACAAACTAAAATCGTTTTCTTAATTTTCCATGTATCGGTACTGCCAATACATTTCGCTCTAAATCGAATCCTTTATATAATTGTCTAGTGTAACTTTCGTGGAACTCATGCTCCTCCATGGTGTCGAAAAAAGGGACATGAACTGAAATTCTCTAAAGGAACTCGGCGCTATTTTCAATGCCGCGACTGCAAGAATCGGACCACCACACTTGACAGATATCCTACGGTTCCCTGCGAGTAAGTTCCGTAACTCTTATTTTTCCTTGTCTTGCTAGAAAATTTCCATTTATTCAAGAGCACCCTCTGTATTTAACCTCAAAATATTTACTCATCCGTTCTCAATTGTTCCTTACATGTTCCTCTGTTGCAAGAAATCAGATATTTATCCTCTCATTCATACAAAACTAGAGAATTATTTTGCAACTGTGGATCTTGAATTTTTCAGTCAGTAATGCCATCATAGAATTTATGAAACTTATCTTATTGATCCATTGCAATTTTTTTCTCGACCTGCTATCAACAGTTCATACTTTTATCTGTCATTACGATCAACACAATCATATGTATCGTCAGCGTATCTTGAATCATAACTCAAGTAATCCCAATTTGCTTGAAGTAATGCCTCACTATACAAAATTTACATTGGGGGCGGTTTGGTTCGTCTGGAAGTTTGCATCTGCCCTCTAGTCAACTAGCATTCGTGGCAAAACCTAGCCTCGAGTTACATTAGGGCTATTGACGAGACCTGAGTGAGGACATAATTGCTATCTGCTCTGGATGGGAAAACCTTTTGTAAATAAATGCTGGGTGAAGTTCAATGGTATTGTGAAGCTTTCTATTAATTTCTACTTTCAAATCAAATAATCTTGAACTCACTATCGAAGCTGAAATTCTTATCTAAGATATTTTGATAATCTTTGAATTCATTCACTTGGTAATTAGTAATGTTGTCTAGTTTAATAGCAAACACCAAGTTGCTTTTATGCAAAAGCTCCATTACAAAAATAGTCATTTCGGATAGCAATTGGGGGTCACACTTGCCATTTGATATATCCGCATCCCTTGTTTTGTGCCTGACGGCTTCGTATCCCGACATGTGTGAATGCGATACCTAAGCGTGGCCTAGATTGCAGTACATCTTGTATAAGAAAAACGTTTCAGAAGTAAGGTTAAGTAAAATGTAATGGCATAGATAGACTTTTTATTCATTCAGTTATCGGAACTTCAAGGAGACGAATAACTGCTAAGGCTGTGCCAGCAGATATGATTTTATTATACTGCTGACCTAAGTTTGAGGAAAATTCAACGACGGATCAAACAAATTTTATAAACTGCGAAATGGCTAATAAACTTTATTTGAATTTGCTAATTCCCTAACATTTTTTCTATTCTTAAGATACAGGTTTCTTACTTGTTGGAAGAAATTGATGTGGATTCTTATCACAATTGCGTGGGATGTTTGCCCACTTATTTTTCCATTATCTTTTGTATCATTTATCTTTTACTAGTCACCACATTCCTCTCTTGTTAAGCTTCTATTTAGACATAGTTTTTCCCGGCTGACTTGGCTAGGTACATTTTTCACTTGTATAAAATATAGTTTTTGTCATGTTTAATGAATGAAAAAAATTTCTATTGTAGCAAGTGTGGCGGAAATCTCTTCGAAAAGGCAGGTGTTATAAAGGTGAATATTTATTTTCGATTATTGTTAAAGCATTTAATATATTTTAACTTTATTTTAAAAAATCTATTTTCATTTTCTAGGAAAGAAAAGGTCCAAAGTTAATATCTGAACAATTGCTTACTCGGGGACTGGAGGAAAAGTTTCTCTCTTGAGACTTACATACCTCGAAATTATTTTGGGATTATAAATTTTTTAATTCCACTTTTAGACTGCTTTTGCCTGGATTTTTTATTTACCCATTAAAGATGATTTATTTTATACATTATTTTTTATTCTTTTTACCTTTTCTGCGCCATCTTAGTATTTCAACGACAGTCGCTAGTGCTTCTTTTGATGCACTTGCAATAGCCAACTCGTATAATTAGATTTAAGAATTTATATGTACAATTTATTCTCATCAAAAAATTTACTACCTTAAAATCGGAACTATATTTAGATAAACAATTTTGTAATTTTACTGAAAGTGTATATTGCTTAGGCTGTTTTCAAAAGTGCTTTGTTATTTCATTTTAGAATCCACAAAGAAATTCAGCTTACTCTTGGTTTTTAAAAGGCATTTTTAGCGTAAAAATGTCATGCTAATGCACAGTCGCTTCATATCTCATTACTTTACTCTACTAATTTGCCTTATTAACGTAAAGTTGGGTTGCAGAGCAATATACGAATTGTAGCTAAAATTTAACCATTATTGGCTTTCAAATACTGGTGCTTTCTGTCTACATAAGGACTGATGCTTTATCTGAATAATTCCTGCTAGTATTGTTACCTTAGCAATATGAAAGAG